CACAGTAAAGCTTAATGAGCAAAGGCTCGATTAGGAAACAGTATAAATTGAATTCCAACAGCAACATAGCGGCTGATTCAACTGATCCATCCACACCGGCTGCTGGTTCGACGACTATAACAGCATAGAAGCCGGTCCATTATCGGCCACGAGGAAGATCGTTAAATCATTGCTGTGGTAATGGCAATTGCGCCCCTCGCGGTTCATTAACACCAACATATCGCCCACTATATCATCATAACGTCGATTAGCTTGAGAACGGAATGACCAATGCTATTTCATCATTTCAAGTTCAGAAGTAAACAGTATGTAGATATATATTCTCTTTCAGTATACAGAATAATTTTATTTATAGAAAATTTTTCGATTAGAATATAATCATGATTATATAGAGAAGCTGCATCAATGATTATGTACTTATAATATCCAACAATAGGCACATAATCACTAATCAGTAGTGAGATCCTTGATAATTAATTGATAATTAAGGATTCATTTGCTGAGAAGTAATCATTGTATAAATGTTATATATTTATTTATATATGTATACATATAATATGTAACAACATTTAAATGATTTTATTTACTTATTTATTGAAATTACAAATAAAGAATATATAGTTTTTCTCTCTCTTTCTCTAATTAAAATTTTGTTATTAAGAGAACGATAATTTTATATGAATTTGTAAAATGTTTATGTGTATGTGTGTGCTTCTGATGGCTTACCAAGGATTCTTTCATTTTGCTAGAATAGAAGAAAATAGCACGCTAGAAGGAACAGTCTACGTCCGTGAATACGAACTGTCTGAAAGTTCAAAGCGAGATTGGATAGATTCGTCTTCGCGTTTGACTGTAATAATTAAAGCATCTCGTCCAGAGACATTTCAAATGCGAAAATGATAGAGCAACTTTTAATGTAGCATTATTTTCATAGAAAACTATTAAAAGTGTTTCTTATGTGTGTATTGTATATTGAAGTAATGTCGCTTTATCAACATAATTTTTACTGATGAGGGATTTAGTATATTTATAAAATACAAAAAAAGGTTAAAAGTTATATTATTTAGACCATATTTTGCAATTTTTATCACAAAATTGCAGTGACAATAATTGTTCAACAAAAATAAATGAAGAAGGCGGAGAGTACCATATTCGATCAAGGCGAATCTTAGTGTCTAATAATATACGTATATGTGTGTTTTACAATTTCCAGTTCAAACTGTGCACTGATTATTTATCGCTCTTGAAACACAAGGTCTGTCTTTTATTCCTGCTCTCTTTGAACACAATAAATTAAAATGAAATAAATATTTGTTTCATTTCAATTTATTGCACCGTGTGCACCAGTTCAGAAGTACAGAAATAATAAACAGACCTACAGTCTTAGACTAAAATTGGAGTATGTAATATCACAAATTAAATTGACAAGCAATTTAATATTATTGATGTTAAGCGTCTTTAAAGCAATAAATAAATAATTTATTGAAAAATATTACCTCAGTCTAGATTTTCCAAATTCCATGAACATCTTAGCAATTCGATCACCAATTCAAGGCATATGATGATATTAATTACAATAATACATGTAGGAAGAACGTTATTTTTCAGGCGCCGTAAATAAATGAAATTGATAATAATTATTTCTATTAATTATTTCAAATAAAATAGTAATTGGTTTTTTTTTCTATGTTCTAAAGATAATCCATATAAAAATAATATTTTTCATTTAAATAAATGTTTATTTTATGTTATATAATGCAATTATAATATTCCAATAATTTAAAAAATTTAATTAATAAATAAGTTATGGTTTACGTAAAAGTAATTGACGTAATTTTCTTGCAATTGATACTTTTTATAAATAAGAATTGCTTCTTTTTATTTTATCATCTGAAATAATATGCATTTTGCGACAGTAATTTGTTGCCATTTTGCGGAAAATCACGGTGCGAAGAGTATTAGTTATCTCCACAGTTCAACCAATGCGAATCAAAGAGACTCACTGGTTGTGCTCCTTTTTATTTCATTTTTCTACTCCTTGCAATCGCCTTCGGTTCCTTTGAACTACGCATAAGATGGTACCGGAAAGTAAAATATTTCCGTCGTTGGGTTGACTGAATGAGGCTGTCGCTCGTTTGACGGAATCGACGCCAACGTTCACCTACCTCCGCTGTCTTTTTTGGATTTTCCTTTTCCTTCGTCGAGTACTCTAATCAGGACGCCGCTGCTCTCCTAGTGAATTTTGCATTTTCGCCGTTGGAAATGGCAGGACTCCGCCGAGGAAAGAACTCGGGCGAGAGAAAACCAACCCTGCTCTAACACCGTGAAATAACTGACGACGTAAGCTACTTCCCTCCGGTTTACTAGACTCACAATGGAAATCTGAGACTGAGAAAACCTGATGTTTATCACTTTCACAATGCGAAAACTTATTAAATGTTCCTCCTCTCTCTTTATGTTTTCAATCTCTCTTGTATGTACACATCTTGTTGTGTAAACAACGGATTTTATAAATTAAGAAATTAAACTCTAGAACAAATTTTAATAAACATTTTAATAAAAAACGTGCGTCTTTTTCAATCATCGTTGTACTAGTTTAGACTTCAAATTGCGTTTAGATAATTATTTTAAATCAAAAAAAAAAAAAAAGTTCTGAATGTTTGTATAGTAAATTGATTTCTTACACGTAGATAAAAAATTTTTCTAGAAATTCCTTTCATTATTTTTTTATTGGAGTATATTAGAATATTATTTTTATTTCCTTACGTAACATTTATATATTTGTTTATAACAATCTTACATTCAAACATTTTACCAAATATATACGTAAACCAGATATATCACGAAATCTATTAAAGCAAAAACATGTGCCAGATTTATATGAATAGATGTGTTAATTAAAATTGTTATAGTGATTATAAGTTTATCAGAATATTTTAAAGTACTATTATAGAATAGCAATATTGAAGTTGGTGATTTTATCAAATCAAAGCTTGATGATGCGACACACACGCGACAAATAGATTCTGAAGATTCTAATTGAAATTCTTACTCTGACGAGAGAGAGAGAGAGAGAGAGACAGAGAGAGAGAGAGAGAGAGAGAGAGAGAGAGAGAGAGAGAAAGCAAGAGGAAAGAGCAAATAGCTTTAGGTATGCAGTGGCTTTTAAATTGTGTCCTCTGTGCCATTGCTGAAAGCCCTTTGATCGAGAATGTCAAAGTCAACCTACGCGACCGTAAATTATTATCTAGTCATTAATATTTCACGAAATCCGTAAAGAACTTCAGGAAATCCATCACGTAGAAATAATTCTATCTATTGATTATGTTTCATTTTCTATGAATCTCTAAAAATTGTTAAACGCTAGGTTTCTAATACAGTCAATAAAATTTTAATGCCACATTTAGTATAATATTTACGTAGAAATCATCCTTTTGTAGATACATCTACATTACATTAGATATATATTTAAGATACAAATAAAGTGCAATTGTTTTCTGATGTGTACGTCAAAAGAAAATTTCATTTTCGCTAGCTTTTATACTTTTCTTTGCGACATGCTTGTGCGTTTTGTTCGCCCGCAGCGACGGATTTATTGACTTTCTCACGAATGTTCTCTCGTTTGAAGCGTAAAACGCTTCGTAGTCGCGGATATTTATTTTCTGTTTATTTTCGTGAACCCTTTCGAAAATAAAAGAAAACTCGGTGATGGGCGATGAGCAAGATTTCACCACATCCTATACAGAGAATAAACAAAACGTTTTCGAGAATAGAGAACAAATCTAGCGGCAAATATTGAGAGGATGTGAAACGAGTAAAAAAGAAAGAGCGTAGTGTCGCAAGGTGCAGGTGTTCGCGAATGACAAATATTGAAAAAGCGAAAGAGTTGCAAGAATTCATGAAACAACAAGCAAAGAGACGGATAGACAGATAGACTGAGAGAGAGAGAGAGAAAGAGAGAGAGAGGGGGGAGGGAGAAGAAGAGAGACAGGGAAGATGGAAAAAAGGAGAGGAAACGAAGAGAAAGAGCGAGAACTCTCGTTAACCCAAAAAGCCCGAGAGCTATACAATCTCGCGACCGGAGCTTTCAGCCGCACCCCCTTCACGAAACTTCGCGCTTATTAAGAGAAATTCAAAAAGTTTTAGTTCTTTTGCGTTAAGTTCAGAACTACCGCACTGTGGGTATAGCACCCGATGCATACAGATACAACTGAATGTAACAGCAAATGCACCTTGGTCGCGAAAGCGATCTTCTGTACTATATCGTGATGAAAATGTGAAACCAATATAATCTTTCAGCTGAAAATTACTTGAGTTTCTCAATGGTTTCAATTACATTTTTAATTAATTAACAAGAAAAGAAAACTTCAAACTTCTAAAATACAGCTTTATAATTTTCTGAAATACAATTTTATGATATTGTGATATATATTTATTGTATCTTTTACTTCTACTAAAAATATAATATTTTTCTAGACTTTGATATTTCTTTTTTTTTTACTCCTCTAATTATAATTACATAAAATGTAACATAAAATGCGAAATCGATATAATCTTTTGACTGAATGTAAAAACTAATCAATAATCTTAATCATATTCTTTTTTTCTAAATTTTGTAAATAAATTAAAATAAGAAAAAAGAAATCCTAAAAAACGCCTACAATATAGTATTACTAATAAATAATTTTTTAATAGTACGTTCTTTTTCTATTAAAAATTTTATGTTTTTCTAGACTTCATTCATTTTTTTCGCTACTCCAATTATAATTACAGTGCAATGTAAAATGAGAAGCACGAAATGTTGAAATTACCTTGATTAGAGCGACAACCGTTAATCCCACAATCTAAAAGGGCCATGTTTGCTCGTCGATGAAGGTAGAGGTAAAACAGCTATGAGAGGCAAGAAATCCGTGAAGAGAAAGGTCACGAAGGCAGATTTTGCGCGATGAGTACCAGCTTTAATGAGGCTATTATTCTGGCTAAAGTTTGTGTATACGTACCTTGGACAAAGTAGTGGGATGAGGATAGAGGTTGACGAGGCAGCTCTGCCGTCTAAGCCGATAGTCCCAACGTGTCTCCAAATGCGGAATTTCCATGGTGTCGCAAATGCTCTGCACATGAGATGCCGTATGTGCGCTCTGCGGTCCAAAAATCGCTGCCACGCCGCCTCGCAGTAGATGGCACACTGTAACAAACGTCAAGGTATAAATGCGATCAGTAAGAATTGTTGTTAAAATGCGAAAATATAGAATTTCTTATATCAAAAAATATATCATCGGCATTCTATTTTTAGTCATCCAAGTCATTTAGCAATTTTCTCAATAAAAGGACAAAAAAAGCTATATAAATAGCGAAACATAATTATTTCCGATAAGATTATATATAATATTTTTCCATATATAACTTTCATCTCCTATTTTCAAATTTATTTATTCGATCAAATGTGACAAATATGCATTCATTTTTGTAAATCTTATATTTTATGTTTTACAGTATCATTGTGTTTACTGCATAAAGCAGACAGATTTTTTTAGCAAAGTGTAAATATAAATATATTGACATTTATCTGTGTAGGTATTAGAATAATTCGTTTTGTAACTCATCCTACGACCATAAATATGAAACGCACAGTGTCAGTTTGTCTGCGCAAGTTGAAATTGGGAGGTGGCACATGGATCGATTAATTAGTCAGCTCGCTTCTATTATGATAATGTATATGTAGATGCGAGCGTAATAGCAGATATGCGAGCAAGATAAGCATGACGTGAACGCCAGGGGCCGTGTACTGTAATGTTAAGCTGAACGAAACGGAATGACCTGTCCCATCATAATATATCGATCATGTCACCATTAACTAATGTGATTAAGGTCGTTTCGCACATCGACAACGTACCGTCCGTATCATATGGAACCTATTATCGATTAATCACCGTAACTCAGGTAAACTTAGTAGCGTAACACCGCGTGCAGCTTGTCGGACGATCTCGCGATCTCACGAGCTCTCCATTCGCCAGTTGTGATAAACGACTTGGTATTAGCGAAACGTTCTGAGCCAGGATCTCGCAATCCGCCGGGATCTTGCACTGGCTCGATGCATAAACCCCTGTCAATCTCTCCCATTCACTCCCAATTTCATTTAGCGAATAAATGTTTTTATTACCTATGACATGGTTTCGTTCAGATTGATCAAATGCCATTTCAATACAATGCCCTTCTCTTCTTTTCCGATGACAATGACGATAAATCACCATGCCAAACATCTATCGAATATCGCGAGTTTCTTGTTTCTCTCGAGCTAGCATATCAAATTCGTTTCCATTCTTTTATATATACATAATCTTTATAGTATAAAAAGAACAGCATTGCTGTTTTGCAGGAAATCCGCGTTCTCAAGTTGCATTTCCTTCAATTACAACATCGCAGTTATCCAATTTCGTCATCGTCGATTCTAGCTCATCTTGGTTTATCCAAAGTATCTCAGATCAGAGTAGACGATCGTGGATAAGTCATAATAAGAATTTTTTGCTCGTGCAAACTCCTCTCTCGATAAGCGCAAGCGGGTAAACTTTAGAAGAAAATTGTCTCGGCGCTCCGCCGAGTACTTGGCGGAAGATTGCTTTGGAACTCGTTTATGATACCTTTCATTAATAAAAAAAGAATAAAAACAAAACAAATATCTACAAAACAAATATCAATAAAATATATTTTTTGACCATTATCGTCGTTTCTACAGATCGTCGTATACGTGAAAGTTGCTTAAAAGGTCTCATCTAACGACGAACATCGTTACGATAGTGATACGATTGTGCCTTCGTTAAATCGACATTTTTCTTGTAGCTGCCATTTACTTTTACTCATACTGATAATTAAATTCTGTGATGTGAGTACAAACCATTCTAACGAACTGACATTAATTTTTCTCGTCTTTCTCTCCTCTGATTTGAACCGCGAGATAATTATTCCTTTTCTCCAACATATACGACGAAAGAAAAAGAAGACCACGCTTTAAAAGTATAATCGGTTCATAATCCAGCATGTCATTGCTACTAATAATTATATTTTTTACATAACTGAGAATAGTATTTTATTTAAAAGAATCTTTTTCTCCAATATATCTCATTAATTATCGGTTATACCTAAAAATTGTACTATTTTTTTCATAAGATTTTTATAATTATTTATTATATATATGTGTATATATGAAAAAGGAACCAAAAATGCATTTAATAATAATAATTTATTGTAATTTGTAAATCGATATAAAGTAATGTAATGTGAGATATAAAATAATATTAAAAATAATATAAAAAATAATACATTTCATTAGAACTTAATAAGTTTAGAATCAATTTGTAATAAAAATTTGCAGTATTATTATTCTCATTATTAACATATAATTCTTTTTAATTTTTAACATTAAATACTTTTTTCTACAATATTTTTAATGATAGTAAATTATATAATGAAATATCTATTCTTTTAGGAAAGAGGCTTAATATTATAGAGATAACATATAAAATTCAAAGATAACAAAACTCATTGTTAGCAACGTTAAATAGTAACTAATAAAGTTTTCAGAGTTTGTATAATAAACAATTTAAAACTTACTAAACAGAATATAAATTTCCATTTCCTGTAAACAAACTTTAAGTTCAAAGATAATTCGATCTTCTTATTAATGTTTCACTAAGCCAGAATCATCTCCAAATCTGAGAAAGAATTTGGAACTGAGAGAAACTCACGCGCCTTCCGGCGAATATATATTAATAGCATCGACTTTTCTGAAAATTTGATTAAATCGCTTTGAAAAAGAGCAACATCTGAATCGCAATTGAGCATACAAGCACCAGTAAGTCACCAGGCCAGCTTTAATTCGGAATTACCTTTTGATTATTTATTCCAAGCGAAAACCATCTAATGTCTCTTACAGGCTGGCTCCACTCTGACGAAAAGATCGTGTTAGAGAAGGAATGAGAGAGAGAGGGGGGGAGGGGGAGAGAGAAAGAGAGAGAGAACTTGGGGATGGTTGCGCATCTCTCGGTTTTTTTCCCCTCGTATTTCAAATCCGTATACCTTACCGCAGTCAGAATCTCTATAATCGGTGGACAAAGTCGGTTTCTACGGATATAGGAACCTCAAAGTAATACCCGGACAGCGCTGGCGGCGTTTTAAGGTTGAAATATGATATGCGCTATATTGAAATTCCGAATGCAATTTCGTCGGGTGGCCTCGGGGCGCTTCGCGAACAACCATATACATCGGTACGTATATCGAGAACTCCGGTTTTTTTCTCTTTTTCTTTTTTTTTTCCTCCAGTTGGTCACAGCACGCTTGAGGTCTCGACAATCTCTTTCTCGAGGTGGGCCCAGAATCAATTCGAGCTACATTGTTGCCCACGAGCAATACGCGCGTTCGTCTTTTGATCGCTTTGAGATGCAGGTTGTGCGATGGAAATGAATTGAGAGAACTTTGCATATCGATCGTGCTGTCAATTCAACAAAATAAACGTAAAGGAATTGGAAAACTGAATCATACTATACAAGCATATATAGATTCATAATTAATTTATAATGATTTATAGCAAAATTTAATTGTTAAAGGTGAAATTTTAATTAAGCATATAAACTTCATTACTTTTCCAAGCTATTTTTCTCGAGATGTATAGATTTATTCTATTATTTTTGTATAATCATCCTTTTGCATCACATATTTCGAATCTATATTTAAGATCTAACGTCGTATATAATTTGAGAATAAATGACAACATAAATTTATAATAATAACAGAATTAAATTAATATAATAATTTAAATTGTGTTATAATAAGTTTATTAGCGAATGTAACTTACTTAAATTACGACATTTTTTAAATTTTCTTTCTGATATATGTTTTTTGTGTCTTAGATTTTTAATGTTTAAAAAACTAATTTTTTTTAATGCTTAAAAAACTAATTTTTTATGTACGTTCTGTTTTTATGTATGTTTAAAATTCTATCACACAATATGCATTCGGAGAAAACAAGTTCATCAAAAACAAAATTTAAAATTTTTTTCAGTTTTTTCAATTTAAATATGATTACAAATTGTAATAAAATTATCAAAAAGTGAAGAGATAAAATGTAAATTGAAGCGTGTTTTTGTTTTTTTCCCCGTATATATTTAAATTTTATTTCTGTATCATAAAATACATCATATTATCGTTTAAGTGGATGTTTTTGACTCTCAAAAATGTTGTTCAGAAAATATTATAATTTTACAATATGTGTGCATGTAAATAATAATATATAGCATAAAATATAATATAAAATGTTTTTTATAAAACTTTATATTTTATATCATTAATTTTCTTTCTCAAGCCAATCCACAATTAATTAGAAATGGAAAATCATAATAAATGATTAATAGAGTAATATTATAAGTACTAGAAAAATATATACGGTTAATTTGTATTTTAATGTTTTTAAAAACATTTTATTTTGGTCAACAAAACGTAAAATTTTATATATTATTTGTTTATTAACTTGCACTGTTGCATACAATTACTAATAATTATTTAAAAAATAAAACAAGAACCAAAAAAAGTATAACGATAGTTTTCTTCATTTTAGAACGTACACAATACTGAAGGTCTAGGGTTACTTTTTATGTTATATTACTGTATTCACATTATTACATTTTTATCGTATTTACGCATTGCTAGAGATAATATTGCGTCGCATTGCAATCATTCCTGACAAAGTTGCTGACCATTCTTCGGTAACATGGATTTCCATCTTCGGTTCTTGTCAGACGTTAGAGTGTGTAGTACAGTGTTTACTTCTATGCTCTATAAGCATCTTAGACACAACTCGTGCTCTCACTGGCAGGCAGCTGGATACATATTGTAAGTGCAATGGAGTTGACATGGCATCCAGTTGCTTTGGTTGTATCATTGTGTCCTGGCTTTGTGCACAGATAGGATTATCACTCGGTAATATATCAAAGCCAGTTGGTGAGCGACCCCGGCACCGAGTAATATCTAATCCTGCGATTCTCTCTTCCTCCCTTCTCGGGTCCTTCTATACGAACCTTGATCGTGCCTGTTCATTGTCGACTGTAATTTCATCCTTCACCTCCAAACCACTAACTGGTGTCGTGATAATGACACTTTATATGTATTAATGACATTTTACTTCCTTTTTATTAA